GAGCATGGATTTGTTGAACTGCAAAATTATGATTGGTTTTCTTCACATTGGATTCCAGATGAAGCACACCAGGCACAATTCATGCGAAAATGAGGGCACAAAAACTTCACTTTGCTAAAGCGGAAAGTCAAAAAGTACCAAAAAAAAGGTACAGTAGGGGCCTAGTTCCTCAAAACTCTTATAGCACAATTTGCATGGTATATAAAGTATACAACACAATGTCTGCCAGACCCTTTGTTTAACTCATCCATTAAGGTTTTGACTCGCTGTTTTTCTTAATTTTAATCCCACATATAACACAACACACATGTTTTCCCGTCATTTAATGCCTATAGATAAATAGATCCTGGAGGATGCCAGAGTGAATTGCAACTGTATATAATTAAGTAAATGCTATAAATGTATGTGGTAGCAATTTAATATTGCTGATTCCATGTCCTGGGTGAATACTTGATTGTAATCAAAATAGCCTTATCTAATCACTGCAATGCAGATTAGACTAAATTATGCCAAATTGGGTTTGGAGAGGGAATGTTTGAAACAGTGCAAACAGCCTGTGCCCAGCAGTGAGTATCTTGTTTAGTGTAACGACGCACAATGGATTTGAGACTGCAGATCTTTTAAAAAAATGATCAATTGAAACCCTAAATACTAATGAGGCAAAGTGTTTGTTTCAGGGAAGAGTTTTCCAATATGTTGCTGGGATAAACGTTCCACTTAAAGGGGACCTATCATGCAAAATGCACTTTTTTATGTCTTTTATACATATAAATATGTGTCCCTGGTGTGCCAGGGAACTCACAAAGTGTAAGAAAACAAACCCTCTCTCTTTTTCCCCGTAACCAAATCTCTAAAAACGGGGGTACAACGGAGCTGATCCAGATTTGCGTCCCACGAAATGTGGACCCACGGCACTATCAGAAAGTTGCTATCAGAAAAAAGGCCCGACGTGTTTTGGACTTAATATGGTCTTTGTCTACATTAGCAAGCATCGCTAACACTCAGAGCTAACCTTTACTGGAGAGAGTATGTGTAAAAAAGCAGGAAATAATATGGAACTTACCTTGTGGTGAACCCGCAAGAGAAAAAGCATTTGAGCTCCATACCGTTTCAGAAATAATCCTTGATGTGGTTTGGAACACGATATGGCCTTTCATCACGCAGCATTTAGCTGTATCTCGTACACCTCCTCTTCTTTTCTTTTTTTAATTAAGGACCCCGATCCTGCAGTTCTCTAATGCCTCTTTCACACCAACGCGGTTCCAGGGCCGGTTCAGAGCTAGAGCCTGAAAAGCACAGTTTTTTCCTGTTCACACCGCGGCGGAGCCGCCTCTAAGCTCCGGAATCCGGTTCGCTTCAAGCACCAAAAAGTTGTCGGTCTAGAAAGCAAGCACCACATACGTCACGCTTACGTTGGAGGCGGGGGCAGGGGCGGGATCAACCTCTAACAACAACAAGCCCACGTTTTATCCAGTTTGTACACAACTATGAAAAACCTAAAACTTAACAAGCAGCAGTGGTCCACTGAAGAGACCAGCTACCTACTGGGAATATGGTCTTCCGAAGAGGTACAGAGGAAGCTGGAGGGGAGCACGCGGTCCAAAGCAATTCTATAACAATTGCAGCAAGAGATGGCAACAGCTGGTTTTGACCGTACCGTTGAACAGATTGGCAAAAAATTGAAAAAAGTCAAGAAGGATTATCGGGACTAAAAGCGAGACCTCGGACGGAGTGGCGGTTTAGCTTTATGAAGCAGGCACGCAAATGGTTACGTCATGACGCAAACGGTTACGTCATGACGCAAACGGTTACGTCATGACGCAAACGATGACGCAATGACACAGCACCAGTCGGCCTCTGAGCGGTGTGAACAGAGCGGGAGCTGAACCGAAGAACCGGTTCCAAACCAGAAAAGCTCTAGCACGGAGCTAGAACGGGAAAAACCTTGGTGTGAAAGGGGCATAACAGGGCTGAAATAGAGAGATATGAGGGATTTCTAAAATGCATGATCTGTTAGGTATTTTGAGCAAAACACATCATAGACATGTTTTTTATATATTTGTATTAGGGCCGGGACTTGATTAAAAAAATTAATCTAATTAATTAGAGGCTTTGTAATTAATTAATCGAAATTAATCGCATTTTTAATCACATATAAATATTTGACCTGAGAACAGTGAGAAGCAATTTTTTTCACATGGATTTTAGTATACCATTGAATAATGACTGAATANTGGCCACACCCCAATCAATAATATCTTAGCAACGTTCAGCATGGATAGGTGTTGACAGCAATGGCATGGGAAAAGGATTGTGTAACATTTTAAAAGTGGCTTCTGCTCTTCACTCAACCAGTTCAAATATTGCAAAAAGATGGGAAGGTACACTAAAACTTGCACGGTTGTGATTGACATCTGTCCACATGCATTTAAACACTAGGCAAAGTACTCAAAACCACCTCGGTGTGTCTTCAGGACCACATTGCCATGGTGACACACACATGCAGACTCAATAGGTGAAAAACAATACCAGCGTTGCTTTAGCAGCTGGTAATAATGGCTCTGAATTAGCTGGGAGTGACAGTTCAAAAAGTATGCCATTACCGAAGTCATTATCTCTTATGCGCTAACCTATTATTTAATGTGCTTCAAAATGACATGAATATCGCCTTCATCAGTGACCAGTCCAACCTAGGATCTTACCATACGATGGCAACCATCGTGGTCGAGGGAAAGAAATGAATGAGCAAGCATTCTGCGTTAAATGTGTTCATATTGTTGAAATAATGACTGTCGGCAGAGTAAACATCTTTGTTACATCTTTTGTAAAATGTATGTGTGTGATCTGCAGATTGGTGGCCATTGAGAGTTTGTGACTGTAGTTTTACAAAAACTTTACAGATTTTACATATTTGGCACTGGTTTTAAATATGCAAAGGCCTCTGACTTCGATGTGATGGCAGCATTTATTTGCTGTGTCCCCATTTCCCATGGTAATATGGCTAATGTGTTTATATATTATTTGTGGGGCAATTTAAATTTGTGTTATTTATCTTTTTTTTCAAGATTTAAATGAAGCCCAGCGCAAGTTCTTTCAGGAAGACTGGGTGTATACATTCACTCCGCAGCTGCATATAATCAGCTCATCACAGGCGTTCTCTTTAACCTATTACATTTCACCTCATTCTCCAGCAGCCAATCAACGTGCTGCAGCCAAACTATAAAATGGTTCTCCTCTCTCCTACAGTCAGCTGTGATTTCAGGTGTTCATGCACCTTATCATATGGCATGTGTCAATAAATGTTCAAACAAAAATGAATTCTCTCCTGATTGAAACATCAAGTGTTTAAATAAACAACTGCAGTTCAAAATAAAAAGTGAATTGCCTAATATTTTTGTTGTGGAATCAATTAATTTCTTTCTTTAAAAGGCTAAAAAAAACAACTATTGAATACAATATATTTGGAGCAACTTAATTTATAAATGGTTGTCAACTTAAAAACGTGTGTTCACAATGATGGTAATTAAGTACATACAGCTTAAAATTCCTTTTAAATCATACGGTAAAACCAAGTCGGAACAACTTAATCTTTTGAGTAATCAACTTCAAAACTTGTGTTTATGCTACCAATTATTAAGTAGGTGGTAATTAAAAACACCTCTGATTGTAGAGGAAAAGCCTTCTCCCCTAAACCAAATAACTTTGTTGCTTTAAGACAATTTCATTAGAAGTTGTCTTAACTCAATAAACATTGATGCAAACTGTTGCGTTAATTTTCTTTGTTGAGCCAAGGCATTTGTTTTTAGAGTGTAATCAGCAGAGATGTTACATTTACATCAACATCGTAGAGAGAAAATAAAGCTACACAAAAAGACATTACTGTGAGTTCAAAACAGCTTTGTGGTGACAAACTGTTATTAGCCATATAAACTAATGTCAAGCCAGAAAGCCAATGTCAGGCTAGTAAATCTTGCTCTTCGTAACTTTGCCCCAGGTTAGCCATCTGTGAATGACCGTGTGTTTGCTGCTACATCTAGTTTGCCAGTTAGCCATTTTATGGTTGTAGAGGAAATGTCAACTGAGAACACCTTCAATGTTTAAATTTAAACAGCTCAACGTGTCAACCCAACCTGTAACTTTAGCAACCAACAGCACATCATTGTCCTGTTGTCTGTTTGTTGGCGAACTGACCTTCAACAAGAACAAAAGCAACCCTGTATCATATCAGCTTAAACAGAGGATGCATTCCTTTCATCCTCTCTGCTCTTTCTCTCTTTTTTTTATTTTTTTTTTAAAGCTGAGTGTTAGTCTCGCCCCAGTGGAGAAGTCACATCCTCTGCTCTAATGCTCCTTCCTCCGTGCACATATTAAAGCTTCTGCCTAATGTCTGAAAACAGACCTCCGTGCGCTTTTCTTCGACAATGCTCTCAGAATCACGGTTTTAAAAAAAATCCATTTGCTGCACATGCTGCGTACTGACGGGTGTAGCCATGAGTTACATCACTGAATGTGGATGTGCGCTCTCTCCTCAGATGGGGGACTCATCCAAAATCGTGATGTTTTGGTGATTTTAAAAACCATCAACAACGAATAGGCCAGCAACTTTAACCATTATATGCTTGTTAATAATCTCTATACTGAGGGACAGCTTTCTAGGTGGCAGAAATTGAGTGCTGTGCATCATTATGTAGTATTATTGGTATTCAAACACTGACACTTAGTGTAAAATTGCAGCGTAATTCTAGTGTGACATTTGCATTTCTTGGAGTGATTCAAACTGCAGTTCCTTGAAAATAAGTCAAATTATGGTCAATCAATGAAGTAGCTGTATACCTATCAAAGAGAAAGGCTGACTTCACACTGTACATGTTCAAATGTATTCAAATGTTAATGGGATCCTTAGGGTAGGCGGGACAGGTAATCACAATGTAAAAAAAGACTATCCCATTTAGAAATGGGGCAATAGCCCAAATAAATAAAGTAATTTCTCTTGTCCTTACCTGTGGCATTGGGTGGGCATCTGTTAAAGGCCAGTTCTCCTGAAGGCGTCCTTCTCCACACCATTGACACTGCATAGTCCTCCGGACAAATCTCATACGGCGCTTAAAAGCAAAGTGATACAAATGTAACTACATGGCTCAAGGAGCTTTTCAGTATTTCCAATATGATGCAACACTTTCTTCATATGACACACACGGAGGTATGGAAATATAGGAGATCAAAGCGGTATAGTATTGTTGTACAAGTATGCTGTTGATGATACGTGTACTCTCTTCTTTAATCACAATATTTGTGCATAGATGTGATATGATAATTATAATCAAAACAATAACTTATCTTTCGGGAATACTCTTTTATTTACTTCAGAGAATAGTATTATTAAGTGACTTTAAGAAAAAGACTCCACTTCAAAAAGGAACTTGAATTGAAGATCACATAATACGATTGGATGATACTTGCATTAATGAGTAAGTCAGCAGTATCATTCATACTTGTTCATCTCTCCTCTGTAGTCACTTACAAGCATCTCCTCTTCAGAATCTTTTATGTATCATCTCCTCACTCTCATTCAGCTTTTAGTCTTATTATCCTTTGGCTCACCTGGACATCGTTGCTCACTGCACTTCCTGACTTCCTCTCTGTTGCCATCACACTGCTGCCCAGTGACCGCTGCCCCCTGACACACTCGCGCTCGCCTCTTCCAACCGCCGTCGCAAGACTTAGAGCAGCCGCTCCACGGACCCCAAGGATTCCACTGGCCGTTAGCTGGAACAAAATCATCCTCTGTTAGAAACAGATACTCTCAGTGGCATAACAATAACATGTGTACATCTTATAATATGTAATGGAAGCTTTTATTTTATTGATGAGTTGATTATTATGTATTTATTTTGCTATCCAATAATTCTGTTTCTACATACAGTTTTTGAAGATTACTTTGAATAATCAGGAGAATGTGTATTTTATGGCTAAAGAAGCTGCACTGTGAGTGGTGATTATTTCATTCACTTTGCCAATATTAAAAGGTATTTATGCTGAAGTTTCCAAACCAGCAGCATGTTTTATGCCCTTGTAATGAACACTGTTAAATTGTGCATTAGACAAAAAAACAGATGCTCCCCTTCAGCAATGTAGTAAATCACATGCCCTTGTCTGAACGGAAAGGTACAACGCCCAGTGAGCAGGAAACACACTTTCATTTTAACCTCCGCTTACCCCTTCCTTCACACATGCGGGGCCATTTCATGTCCTACAACTAACCTTTCTCGCGGATGTATCCGAAAGAGAGACAAAACCGAGACCATTGTGACCTGTTGGCTAAGACTATTCGCAAGACATTGATCAAATCCCTGCAGATAGTGAAGCCTCGGCCCCTCCTCAGAGCAGCTGATTCCTCAGACAGATGCATGCTCATGGGTAACAAAGAGATCATTATGCCAGCAGCCCTGAAGAAAATCTTGAAAAAAATATTTTTCATTAAAATCCTACACAGGCCTCTATTGTAGTCATTAGTCCGTTTTCTTCTATATTTAAGTTATTTGTTTTTCATTCAAAAGAATGTCTGTTGCCTTGAAGCACACTAACTTAAAGTCAAAGATCATTTTGACTGCTTCTGAAAAACATATTGGGTTTGTAATGAACTCTTTTTTTGTTCTACAGAGAAGAGCAAAGCCTCCAGCAGTCATGGACACATGCTGACGTGTTCAATGGAGGCTTAGACGGCTTTGTATCACTAATGTTTGATCTCTCACCCCGCAAACAAATAAGAATTGCTAAATAGGTAGGCCTCATTAAATGAATAAATTGTATAATGCATCATCGCACCGTGAGGCAAACAACAGCATCTTCTGCTTCATTATCATAAGCACAAATTGGAAATACGCATTCAGAAGCATATTTAAAAGGGACCAAGAGAGCATAAAGGTTGACTGGTTAAAAATATTTCAGAGGAATATCTTCGCCACACACATACCAGTGAAACAAAGCCAGCTGTTTTAGGCTGTTACAGTGAAAATTGCATCAGGAGATTATGAGAGTGCTCGGGCCCTTCATGTGATCAGACAATTCAAAGCCTGATGGAGACCGCTAAGCTGACATAGTCAAGCCTCTAATACATCTATGATGTTGACAGACAGTTCCGACAGCTAACCCTGAATTACGTGAAAGGCACAGTATATCTAAATGGATTTCACAAATCCAATTGATCGAGCATGGTCTTAGACATTATTCTTGATTCTTACAACATGGCTTGATTCTTGCTGCAGAGCCTTTCAGTACGCAAGAGAAAGAGTAATACATTTCAGAAAAATCTGGCGGCTTTTTATATTTTAAACTGATGGTTATGATAACATAGGTTGATGATGATTAGGACAATATGGGACGGGTTGTTTTGAGTCTTTCCTTTCCCCCTCAATTGAATTCATGATTTCGTATTTAGACATCAAAGCGGATATAGAATTAAGAGGCTCAGGATTTTACCTGTGCAGTCAGGATTATGGCACTCTCTGCTCTCTGCCCAGTGACCGCGACACTCAGATCCCCCATGGGCGGCCGCTGAGCACTGCCTGGTCCTCTGCTGAGTGCCATTGGCACAGGTCACCGAGCAATCGCTCCAAGAGCTCCACTCCTGCCACTGTCCGTCCACTGAGGCACCAACCACAACCCAACAAGCATGTCCCATGTGAAGGCAAAAAGAGGGCAGACAGAAATGAGAGGAGATATTCAGATCACTATTCTCTCTCAGATTGGAAGCCAAAAAACAGAAAGAAAATGATATGACTACTTGAAGATTTTTCGAGAATTGTACTGCTTGTTTACTGCTCTCGTTAGAATTTCCAACATAGCCAAAGGCAAAAGGAGAATAAAACATAAAAGGTGTTTACAATATCATCATGTTAAGATTTATATTATTAAATGCCAAGGGTAAAAACTGCAGAGTTTATACTGTATGTCAGCTGTTTTCCTTTTTCCCTGTCTGGGCAGAGGGAAAGCAACAGGGATAGAGGGGTTTTTTCAAGTAGTCTGTTACAAGAGCAAAGCTAACATGTACTGTGTGGAAAAATGTATCTTTACTAATCTGCTTACCATTCACAGGCAATTATGGGTAGGAGATTAGAGTATTAGCCTACAGTAGTAACTCTCAACAGGGTTTCCTAAACCGCATTACAGTATAGGAACTGTTTCTTTAAACGCACCACAGACCTGGCTCCTTTTCAGTGTTTTACTCAGCTTTGAAGCTCTGTATTGATTGGGGATTATATATAGAAATATATAAGGTAAACTGATACCATTCTCAAAAATTAATCTTTTGAAATCAGACCATTCATCATGATGCCTTCAGGGAAAATTGTAAATATTGTTATTTCGAATATATTTACAGAGCAGATAGACGATACCTGGGCATAGGGCTATGTTGCAAAGCTTAGTCTGGGTCTCAGGTCCGTCACAGGCCCTGCCTCCATGCTGGGGAGGGGCACAGCTCCTAGTCCTAGTGCGGTGCCCCCGGCCACATGTGAATGAGCACAGGCTCCACGGTGACCACTCCTCCCATACACCGTGTACTGCGGGCACAGAAAAGGCGTCAGGCCTAATCAATGTCTCTATCTCTGCTATTGCATAAACACACCCATAACAAAAACTGCACGCAATAAATGAAATAAAATCAATCAAAACTAATGTAAATGAAACACTGAGCACACAGACACAGCGGGACTTTACAAAGCCTCAGCCGCAAGCTTCAATCACCTCCATACATTTAATACATTATAATAAATGCCATCCCACTAACAATGCTTCTAGCCACATGAAAGGCAAAGGATATGATAAATATGTCAATCTTTAACACAGCAGTTTTTAACATGGGAAGCCTGATTCTCAAAGTGTGGGTGTCGGAGCAGCAGGTCTGCACAGCGTTACAGATTGCTGAGTCTTCTTGGTTGACTGGGAATCTAATAGCTGCGAACCTTCAGGTTAATGTGGGCTGACAATGGTTCTGCAAATCTGTCGTTACACCAACATACTTATCATGGTAATGCTCAAAGCAGACAGCCCGTAACCTGGTTCCAGACCTCTGAATAATTGCCAACATTTTACGATTCGTAATAAAATGGCCACCCAGACTCAGTATCAGCATAGACAGCCCAAATCCAAGGGGAAAATGTTTATTGAAATGTCTAATATGGTGTTTCCTCATCAGAGCCTGAGCAAATTATGCGTACATGTTTCAGAGCCTATAATGTTGTCTGGCATATAGTGTTTCTTTTTAATCATTTCACAAACTTATAATTTAAAAGGATAATTTTTACATTTTTCAAATTCATTTTCAGCATTTACACTATTTAACACATCAGATAGTTTTCTTCAAAAAAAATATAGTAAATGTGTAATATTCATACATTTCTTAATAAAATACATATGTTGGAATTGATGCTTTTAAAATACTTTTTTGATATAATTTTAAACAATATCAGGCAAAAGGCATCACTCCTCGCGATTATTGCATTCGGTTTGAGTATAAGTTTAACTGGGTTCTAGCTGACGGTGTGGTGAGTTATTAAAGAACTGCAGAGGATATTTGCTATTGGCTTAAAGTTTTTTCTGTGGAGAGCAAAAAGGGAGAATCTGAGAGTTAGAGAGAAGTTAGACACCTCCTGCCTTGTCTTGGCAGTTACAGTGTTGGAGCAATTTAAAATAATGAACACAATTCAAAATGTAAAAGCTAAACTTCTGTTATTAGTTTCAAGAGCATCGGGCTTCTTTATACCAGGGATAAAGTGAATTTACTGACAGAATTGAGGCGCCCAAACAAGCTTTCAGGGGACTGCAATTGTATCAAACCAAAATCACACTGCACTACCAAAAGTTTCCTAGCTGGTTAAATAAAGCTTAAATTATACAATCAGAAACAACACTGAGATATGGAATACAAAGGGGGTTTAAGACCTTTGGAAATGTATGTAGGACTACTTTTTCCACTTTAGAGGGCTCACTATCTATAGCTTTAATGTTCCTGCAGTATATTAATTGGATCTCAGGATCGGTTGTAGAATAGTTGGATATTGGGATCAAGCTGATGGTCTGCCATAAGGGGGGGGGTTAGTGTCTGTACCAGGTCCTGCCTCTAGGCGCTGCTTTGATGCACTTAGCTAAGTGTCCCTTGGTGGGCAAAGCATTTACTTTGAACATTTCAAGTTCAAAGCAGGCTGTCAACAAAGCTTCTGTATCAGTGATGGAATAGGATTTTGCTTCCTATTTTTTTCTTTCTGAACTGTAGTCATAATTTCCCGGGTGCGGCGATGAGCAATTTTACTGTGCTGTTAGAGGGGAAATTATTGGACCAGCACAAGTTGGTGGACAAAGTAAATGTTTTGCCAAGAATGTTTTCATTAATTTGAGGTAAACTGGGATTTAGTTGATCTTTTTCATATCACTCCAGGGAGGTTTTAAAGTTTTCACATAGCCTTCCCCTGGTGCCCAACTTAACTGGTACATAATAACATAAACAACTTATTTCAGTCTTTAATATTTTGTAAGCACTTTTCCTCCTCATTTTCTTTGTGAAATAAGATGTGGTTATGATCAGATTTCATTATTGTAATATTTTATAGATTGTAACGTAGTAGGTGTTTCCTTCTGTTAGTTTTTAATGCACCTGCCGTTTTTGCCTATGTTTTGTTTCCATGGAAGCTAATAGCCTACTGCTTATGAAAATGTCCTCTGTTTATTCCAGGTAACTACATTCTTTATTCAAACCAAGTTGATGACTAAAAAAAGAAACGGTCTAATAATTGAATTAATTACAATAGATTAAAAAAAACACTCAAATGATTTTATGTTCTTGCATGTTTAAGCTTTGTTTACATGCTAATTATGACGTTATTTTATCCATTTACCAGGCTTCTTGTCAACAAATCCCATAACAAAACCACAACCAAACAACAGCCCAAGCCTGAAGGAGAAGTTCTACTACTCTTACTCCTCCAAGCAACAATAACTCCGCTGTCGCCAAAAACACATTTAAAACCAACAGAAACGCTACCTTTGCCGTTGAGTAACACACTTCAGCGGCATTAGCACAGCTAGCGTATTTTTATTTTGAAAATAAATCTGCGGATGCATTAACTTCCTGTATGAAGGTGCGTTACAAATGCGTCTGCGCATGCTCGATTAATTGGCGCATTGTTTATATCACTCTGCTAGTTTAACAAGCTGAGAAAATGCATTTGCATAAGAAAATGTAAAGGTATGGCTTTTAGATGTGTTTTTGGTGGCAGTGGGCTTTCATGGAATGGACGGAACTATATCTCTAGTGCAAAACAATTTTAAATTATACTGTATAGCGATTTATTTAGTGTTCTCACATTGACTGATACGATAATAAAGTTAATGAAAGCCCAACCACACATTGCGAAATGTTTGTAACAATAAATAATTTATATTAACTCAAGTAAATGAAAGTAAGTCTAGCCATTTTGAAAGTACACCGCCCATGACGCAATGGACTCAATGCTCTGTTGTATTCCTGATATTGCTGTTTGCACTTAGTGTGCAGTGTTTTGAGGAAACCATGCAGTGTGAGTTTAAATAATTTAGATAGTTACATCACAATACTGGATGTTGACCTTGTCTTTCTTTTGTATTGTATTCTGTGCTATAGTTAAAAACAAATGTTATATTGGATGTGGCATTGGCCCTGCAGGTAAATCCTTTACTGTAAAAAAAAATCTAATAGGATTGGACTGCTTTCTTCTGCAAAACTACTCCAGAATTCTAAAATAAAATAAATAAATAATACATATGAGGGTTAATGGTTTGGTTAAAAAAGGGGGATGATTCAGGTAAAAGGAATATATTGTAAAGCAGAAGTTTTATCATATTTTGGCAGAAGCATTGTGTTGGAAGAGCCGGATCAAGTGGGATTGGAGGCCCAACAACAGAACTGATTTCAGCCTGCAGCGCCTGATCCATTGTTCATCCGTGATGTTGATGTTTTCGGCGACGTTGGCTCTAAGGTAAGGTTGCTTTTAGACTGGTTGTGATGTGTCTGTTATTTAATAGGCTATTTTGGAGGTATTTTTCCACCTTGGCATACAATTTGAACAGAGGGAATTGATCTGTCTGGGATATTGGAGTGCTTTATAACCTGTATTTTTTTTATGAAGACTTAAAGCAAAACTTACTTTGATATCCCCGTGCTAGTTTATTATTATTATAACTAAGCCTAAGTTAAGAGAAAACTGCAGTGGTCTACTTAAAAAATCAAATGACACAATACAATAAATTAGCAATACTGACATTTTATACATTAAAAAGCCTCTCCCTCTTTTATTTTCTCCCAAAAGGAGAAGTTCTAACGCAGTCAAAATTACTTTTTTGAACCAGAGTGTAATGGCCCAGTTATTAGGTGATAAGTGTTGATGCGAAGGAAAGTTCTCGATCTACAATAAGCCATGAGCAAATGCCTAATGTCTACAAGTCTTAAAATAAATCAAGGATATTAATGAATGGGCAGCTCTGCCTCTAAATTAATAATTCTTCATGCAAATTAATGCATATACCTGGGATTGGGCTGTGTAGCTTTTGAGAAATTGGAACTTTAATACTGTCCGGGCTAAAAATAATGGCAAAAGAGGAGACACACCAAGCCTGGTGTTTAGGCAACTGCTCTTTGAAATGACTCATTCTCGTTCTAGCTCTTAATGTCCACGCACAGTTAGAGAGTGACCCTTCTGAAAACTGCCAACTGCCAACTTCCCACTTCCACATGACACATCTAAAAGTACAGTACATCATAGATCAGTTTGTCCGAGGATGCAGCTTGCAGTAGTTATTTTTTTATCAACCATAATCACCTAAGAGTGGTGCAGATTCAGAAGCATTACCTTAACCATTGCCATCAAATACCTTAACAAAACATGAGTACAGAGTCTCGTCCCTTCTATTTGTCTTTGTTAACAAAACTGGATAAGGTAGACTTGTTTCGGACGACACTCTGTCCGCATACAGACAAACATTAGCGCTGCAACCACCAGTCAGAGAAGCATCTGATGCGGATACCTGCCTGCCAGTGACTCATCTGCCCTGCCATCATGGATTGAGGAAGAAATGCCTTCCAGCGCGTTTGCAGAAATACTGCCAAGCTATTTTAAAAATGTACGGCTGACCTTCAAGGAAATGAAGCTGACAACAAATCAGAATCTACTGCTCCCCAAGCGCAATGCAGAACCAAATTTAATTAAACCATTTCAATGCTGATGAATCGCTTCACAGTTAAATGAAATGAAAAACACAAACGTGATAATAAAAAACACATTCACAAAATAACATCAAAGAAAAGAAAGCATTAGATTCATTATAGTAATAATAACTGCAGTCATCATACATTCTTAAATAAGAGAAATTGAAAAGTTTGTTAAAACACAGCAACACATTTCTTCCTACACACAACAAATGAGCAAAACATTAATATTCAAGAATCTGCGGCTAACACTACCTGGACAAGGGGCAGTGTTATTGCAAACCCTTGATTCTCTTAAAGGGCCGATGCAGTGTGTTCCGTATGGTGTGACACATGTTCTTGTTCGCACCTGCGACCCTTGACCGCATGTTACAGAGCATGAGCTCCACTTGGACCACTCCTCTGCACCTGATTCACCTGTGTGGGAGAAGGGTGACACTAGTTAAATGCAGCAATATGGTCCTTGTGCAGGGCTTACAGTACGGGGCAAGGTTGGCAGGGTTGAGTCAAATGGGGAGGGGCCAACATGAGGCACGTTGGGGTGAAGTGGGGGCTTTACGATTTACATAACTATCGTACATGTATACTACCTCTATGTGATCTTTGATAAATACTGGCTTAGTTCTTCAGTTGATTTCATTTGTATTTAGCATAATAAAGTGTTTTACAATCATAGAAAAAGCATTTGCATTGACAATAATCGTTTTAGTTCAGGAGAGATTTTCTTTTTACATCAAAATAAGCATTTATGCAAAGATCACAGTGAAGGCATAGCTATGATTATATAGAAATAACAGTAGATATTAGGGTAACATCTAACTGTTTCACTTCATCCTTAAGAAAATACAGCATGCATTTCTATAAAACCCAATAATATGTTTAAACAAAGCAGACAACAAACAAAGGAAAAAGTCATAAAAACATGGGTACATGCAAGGACAACGTCTGAGAAAAATAAAATGGAATTGGATGGGTGTTAGTTTGGAAGGTTGATATATGGATTCCCTTGCACTGTAGCAAACTTTCTAGTTACCTTGACAACAGTGGAGCAAATTATGTGTTTAAGGAGACTGTTTCAAAATATGATCAATCTTAAGTTGTTAAGTCCTAAGGGTGGAGGAAAAAAAATGAAAAAAGTTATCTGATTTTATTCAGCAGGTCACAGCCATTTACGCTTGTGTGAATGTGGCTCAAAGCTCAATCACTGCGATTACCCAGAATAAATATATATATATTTTAGCTACAGATTGAGAGTGGACTTTCTATTGTCCAGGCCTTTGCGCACATGCAAGGTTTTGGCAAGTATACTTTAAATCTGCATGTGTTCACATTATAATTAAATAATCACATTTTGCATTTGGTTCCAGATAAGTAAAGATATGAATCATAGTTGTTCAATTGATCTCAAGATATCTTTAGAGTTAAATCAAAAAAAGATTAGAGAAGATAAGAAGAAACAGCATTGAGCCTTTCAATCTTCATTGTCTAAAAGGGTCAGATGTCAAAAGCCCATGAAATGCTAAATAAAGTGGATTATCATGGTGAGGCTGTGGGATGATTTCCAAAGCCATGGTAGCCTAAATGAAAAAAGGAATAAATGATTTGGTGACAAGTGAATGGACAATCAAATTCCTGCATCAGAGTAGTCACAGAATGTGTTTGATTATGTTGAACTCTCAGGTACAGTATTCATTTCCTTTTGAGGCTTTATGCATTAGAGATGTAATTTAATGTGAGGAATAGTTTCAATTGCAGCTCTGAATACATTTATGTCATTGGAAGTCATCAAATCAATCATAAAATAATTTTAAGCACAATATGCTTTAAAGTAGTAAACTATCGAGGACATGTAGATTCAGCCAAATAGGGATCTAAACCCTGCCCTTAGTTTTGCAGATCATAAAATAGACTGAAAGGTGGATCAATTTGTTAAATGAGGCAGTACAGGGAGAGTAAATTGTGTGAGAATGAGAAACAGAAAAGCACAGCGATGCGACTCGACAGGGAAACAACATACCTAGGGCGTGTGTAAAATGGAGAGGTGTTAATGAGTATATGTTAGTATAGGTATGTATGTATGGTGTGTAGCAAATTAAGATGGTAATGAAAGGTGTTTTCGAATGATGACAGCAATTTAAAAGGAACAACACATGAAAAAAACAAAACATTTCCCAAAAATCAACAAAAGAATATATAAAAAAGTCTCAGCTAGACCTAAACCCACCCACTGGGATTCATTTGTGGAAAAAAGGCAAAAACAACTAAATAATAAAAAAGCTAAATGAAGGTTTGCTTTAATAGTTCTGTCATTTATTGAAATACTCTGATTTATAAAAAAAAATGCTTAGGTTGTAAAACTCATTATGAATTTAGATAAATTCTGTTTTTAATTTATTGGATGCCACACTTGATTAAGCAACAAAGCCTAATTTTATCTCTGAGGGCAGCATCTATCAGTTCAACTTTTGCCAAGTATGTGTTTCATATTTGGCTGAAGGGGTGGGTTTTTTTCATCGAATGACATTTAATTTATCATGCCTTGGAGGAAATAATTAGCTACATCAGGATCTTAGTTTTAAACTGCTGTTTAATTAATATTCTATGAATATACTGTACGAGTAACCCACTTGCCAACTCACTGTGTGACAATAAAATAAACAGACCCACAAAACCCAATTATGTTCTATATTCAAAGTAAATACTCTAAGAGAAATGGGAAATGTATCTTCCTACTTCATATGTAGCAATAGAGAATGAAAAAATAATAATGCAAAACATTTCCACTTAAAAGGTGCAGTACAATAGAGAGCATGCATGATGAAATTAAGTTTAGTTAACAAAATAAAGTAAAGAAACATAACTACGGTATTACCAGTTTGTGCCATAAATTTAGCAGATTCAGCTTGCTCCTGCAGGGCCTTTGTGTCATGAACTGATCTTGGCCGCTGACTTTTTACTGTATGCTCTCCGATCATTCCATATTCTATGGGACAAAGTAGAGGTTCATATAAAAATCTAGGCTTAAACATGATTTTCTGAGAACAAAAGCTTATTACATACTCTTTTCAATATGTTCGAAGCAACTGCAGTACATGGCTAGAAACAAAGACCACACAAGTTTGTATTTAATTTGTCCTTGACTCTAGGGCATAGAACAATGCAACGGATTTATAAGGGTGAGTTGGAAGTATTAATTGAGCTTGTAAGCACAGCGTAGACACATACAAACATGCAGATAAACTCACATTGTTTTTTTAAAAACTCTTACACTTCATCAGACCCACTCCCTCCCTCCCTCCCCACCCTCCTTCACACCCAGAAAACAAAAGAAAAACAGAATGAAAGTAAAAATGTGTAAGCCATCAGGAAGCCACAGAGGAGGGGGTCATGGAGATAACATGCTATTGATCCACAGTTTCCTCAACAGTTTGTCATCTTTGCAGGATTTCCTTTTTGTCTACCCAGTCGTAAATATTGTGAGCCTTTTTTTTTTTAATTCGACAAATGTATTCTGAGCTGTATTCATTACAATGCATGCCCTCTTTGTTTCCCGTGAAGGGACAAAGAGACAATGAGTGCAATGTTCCGACGCCACACTGAGAAAAGTGATGCTTGCAGTATTGCATCTAATTAAGACTTTGCAGCAGCTGTTTTAAGTAAATCGACACACTTTGTTATGTTTATCTTACTTACTTAGAAAGCTGATTTTTTTAATTTCAATTGAACAAAAGCATTACTTTCAACAGTGTGGTCCTTATGAGGTGATTTTATAATTTGCAATGCAGGTGATGCATCAACAACAAATTCACACATAGCTTATGTTAGTACATTAGACAATACAATGCATCAGCCATTGATAGTGGGGATGTTTGAATCATCTCTTCTAATGTAGTTTGTAGCCTCAGTTTCCTTTATTCCCTTCAGCAGACTGTAAACCTCGAGAGACTGACCTCCCTCACAGTGAGGCTTAGAGGGAGAAATCTGTCATCTCATCTGATCATGTTCCACTGAAAGCTGAGATTTTAGGACTAATTATACGGTAAATCGCTCGAGTACATGAAAAGACAGTTGTCTGATTCACGCATCAGACTGTTGGCATTAGCCAAATGATATCAACAAACATGTTCCATGATTGGATTAAGGAAAATTAATAAATAAATCAAGACCAAAAGACTTGGTTGTGTTCAAACAACATCCCTTCCCACTATAGCATCAGGAAAGCTGTGTTTGTGTTTGCATACAAAATTAGAATATTTCGAGGGTTTAATGAAAGGAGAGGAAGCCGCCAGGTAGAAACAAACATCGGAGCCTTTTGAAGCTGATTGGATCTTCAGGAACCATGACTGCACAAAGTAACTAGCCTCATAAGCGCATTCAAAGGTCCTTCAGTCTGTTTTGATCGTGTCCACATCTGTTTTGCTCAATTTAAGCAGAACACACTATTTGGAGTCTGTGCCGGACCAAAAGGTGTGCAGGTACCCTGATGGTTGGACAAACAGCGGGCAGTTAATCTAGCGTTCAGTCGTGCGATGCTAACTACTTATACTTTGACATGTTACCTCTTTACTGTGTTCTGCTCTACCCTGCGGTGTCTTGGATCATCAACCAATTCCCCATTTAGCAGAATAAAAGGGTTGTCTGATTTAGTCAGCCTGCATGTCTGCTTCTTTGCAGGAAATCATACAAAAAGCAGGGCTCACTGGTTTTTGATGAATTTATAGAAGTGAAACTAAACACTGAGAGCTATAAGAAAGCATATGGAGGCACTTTCATGGCACTTGGCTCCGTGGGGCTAGACAATACATACAAAATGGCTTTGCATTTTCTTTATTGTTTTTACTTTAAAGATACATTATAAAATGCAAAAAACAATTAATTAAATTGTATTATCATTCCGACTGTTCTGTAACCCCTAACATAGCAACAGTTGTAGACAAGGCCACAGGGCTTAAAGTAAATGAATTTCACTTTATTACATACTACCCAGTTCTCTGTTCTTTGAAGCATCTTTAATATAAGTAGATTGTTCCGTGTCTGTATGAAGGTGGACCTATATAATGCTGCAGGCTATTATATTCTACATTGTCCTTTTTAAACACTAATCAACATGACCGTCCTCGCCTATCATTGATCGTAACTCCATCATACCTTTGGTAATGATTTGCCTCGGCAAAACATTGATTAACTCAGCCTATTATACATTTATATTGGCCCTGCAGTCAGTCACACCTAATCTCATCTAGCTCTATGCGGCTTGTGATGAACAATACAACACAAGCATTGAAACATGAAAAGGATTATAAAAATGTCATTAAGCGTGATGTCAGTAACTTACTGTGTACTCATTACAGAGCACACATTGTATAAATCAAACTTCACACATTTTTAAATAGAGTTTTTTCATCCTCACGGATTCATCTCTCCATCACTGATGTTTGAGTAATTATATCTTCATCAATCTGGACAGGAAGCTATTAAAAAAAAGATAAATCTCTTAGTACACAAATAAAAAATGGGTAATTTTGTGCATAATAAGTCTCAGTTTTAATTGTACATGACTGGAATCTCTTTTGATGCCACAAAGCCAAGATGTTAATCCTAACATTGCGTTTCGTAGAGCCTGAAGGTAGAATGGAAAATAGAAGAATCTCGAAACATGACATCAGAAAACTTGGGAGAAATAAGCACAACAGTATGATTGAACTACTTTGATTTAATTCAATTCCGTAGCTATATAAACGTGAACACCAGCGAAAAACCTGCATTTTAATACCTGATGGTCGCCGACTGTTTGCCATTATTCAAAGCAGCCCAAAACAATGCGTCTCCACTGTATTACAAGGCAGAAAGCGCAGATGATGCACTTAGCCTGTCATTTCATTTCCTCAGTTTGAGACGGTATCATTTTCATGTTCTGGCCAGTATTCAGAACAGTGTGTTTTTAAGAAAATTAAGTTTAAGATGAATGAGGTGTCTGCCCTTCAGACAAGACTGAAGTGAACACTTATTATTGATATCCATCAAGCTCAAACAGCACGGGGCAATGCCATTCAGAGAAATCCGTCATTGTTAGTGTTCTTTCCTTTTGTGCAATGACAGATTCATTCACTTTGTTCTGCATGCAGATACCCTTGTTGGAATGACTGTAAACAATGACTATGCATGCATTTTGAGTATTAAAGAATGACATTTATAGAGTTCTAATTGTGACCAATAAATGGAGCAGGATTGACAAAACTGAGTAACAGTGGCATTGCTCTTTAGAAATACTTATGAAAGGTTAAATAGATTTGCCTTAAATATGGAGCTGAATGACTCCATGACCTTGGCAGACAGATCAGCAATGGCAAATTTAATTTCCCAGCAGGCAACACATTTTAACACAAGGTCAAATCCATGCAGCGTGTTCCAGCAAGCATTTAAAAAAGTAAATAATCTGCAACAGTCTGGATCCAATGGGGGAACAAGTTGCTGCTGAATTGCTTACAAGCAGACCTAATTTAGTTTATATTCTGTATATTGTAATAGTAAATGCATGAAATTAGTTAGAACTGAGGGAACAATTGGCATATAAAGAAAGCATTCATAAGCTAGTCTATATATCCGATACTGTAATGTAAATGTTGTAAATGAACAGTGTGCTGTATTTACTGAACAAAGTGAGGCTAAAGGCCATAATTAATATCATAGCAACTTGCATCATACTGGAATAAATAAGTTGTTTAAAGATACAGTGTAGATTGTAAACAGTAAATATATACTCGTATATGCTGTTTATTTTCTTAACTTTCCTTTTCGTACTGATATACAAACAGCATCATATGTTGTTCTGTATCTGAGACATAAGCGACGACAAACTTTGATATTTGTCTACTTTTAAGAAATACAGACACCTGAAAATACACACACACACACACACACACACACACACACACACACACACACACACAGGCAAATGCAAACGTATACATACACCCTCTTCCTGTAGCTCAGTTTTTACAATTTAAAAAAGTCCTAGTATGCTGAAGTAAGAAACAGAATTAGCACTCTATTCAGTAACACCGTGCTTCATCAAACCTGCAATTACTTCAAGTGGAGGCAGTAGAGATTTTTAAAGGAGTAAGCCAGAACCGTGCTGTGCCATCAATTTATAACGGCAGACATTTTTTCCTTTTTGTCAGGGATTATTAACAAATAATAAAGAGGTGAGGGATAAGATTAGATATTTAAGGTCTAACATATTATATAACTTTAAGAAACTGAAGTAATTTGGCGGCTGGTCTTTTGAGTCACACTGCTTTGCAAGATCTTATCGTGTCTGGCCGCAGTGGAAAGGATTATAACTCTTTTGTTTGAATGAGCTTTAGTAGCTGATCTCAAAGGGTGCATCTGTTAGCATAGCACTGCATGATGAAGCCGAAAACAGCCAAAACAATGGAAACCTTTGGCCAAAATGTCCGGTCAAATTACTGGCTGTGCAATCTAGCAATCACTGTGCTGTGACCTCAGCAGGTGACAATACATGAGGGTTATAACAGGGCTCCATTTTAAGGCAACAGTGTTACTGAATGTGCTGTGGCCCACACAGGCCTTCATCACAGTGTCAAAGATGTGCAAACATGGATAGTTCTGGACAGTGTTCTCCTGCCCAAGCCCAACTATTCATGTGAGCCTGATCTGGTGGGCTCAAAGCCTTTTTTGACCATCACAGCTCACTGATGCTTTCAAGCTTAATTATTGGCCAAACGTACGCTTGATTTAATTAATGTCCCACAAGTACTCGCAGCGCATATTACAACAAATAAAGACTCGACACACAATCAAAGAGAAGGAAAGGATCCATGACCTTTATCATCACTGAGGCTTTGAATAGTGCATGCAGAGAATTTTGGGCTTACACGCCCGCAGTGATAACGCCAGCAGCAGACACCCTAATGGAAGATATTTGATTTCCAGGTTCATCTTCACTGTGTGGACGCGTTC